CAGCTTCAATTGAGTGTTTGAGAGTTTCTATTATTTTTATTTTATTCGGTCCAGTTTTTCAGCGTTCTTACATTGCTGAAGAACTGAACTCGTTTTGTTTCTTTTCTTTTAAAAACAATTTATTTTAGTGCTTAGGGATTAAGTACTGGGTTTTGCTCGAGGGATTCGAGTGTGTAAAGTCCACGGGACGTGGCCGGAGAAGTAGTTGATAGGATCGTGTGTAGTTGTGGCTAGACTAGAAGGGAGTTCGAGTCGTGTAAGTCCAAACTATACAAGTGTGAACGGTTTATCAATGAAAGAGCTCTGAGGGAAAGTGGGACGCTTCCCTGAAGAGTTTTAAAATCTTCGGTTTATTGCTTCCGCTATTTACGTTGTTTATCCGCGTTCGTACTACATTTCGCGCACTCGCAAGTAATTATACGTTTCAATTGACACCAGAGCAGTGTTCCTGTTCTAACTACGGGATAAAGATCTTTGGGATTGTGTGTCGGTCACCATGAACCACGACATGTCTGTTTCGCACCCTCCGTACCTCGATGGTTTGAACTATGGGTACTGGAAATCCATGATGGTAATTTTTCTTCAGTCTCTTGGAAAATGAACTTGGCAAGTCATCGAATCAGGTTGGTCAACACCTTTGATGGAGAAATCACCCTTGGAAAAGAAGGGAGGATCCTCGTCCTCTGATGTTGGTCCTCGTGTTCTTGTTGAAAAACCGAGAGATTTGTGGACTGATGCTGATTACGATGTTGAGAAGAAGAAGAAGAAGAAGAAGAAGAAGAAGAAGAAGAAGAAGAAGAAGAAGAAGAAGAAGAAGAAGAAGAAGAAGAAGAAGAAGAAGAACTTCACTTCGCTTGTTTTGAGCCCGGCCTGAGAGCACTGGTGCCCGGATCGACTAAGAAAAGGAAGTGCTTCGACGCAAAGTAAACTAGAACGCCCACTTATCGAGGGTATTTATAGTGAGCCGACAGGCGAAGGGTGAGTCGCGTAGCGACGAATGGTACGAAGGAGAACGATTCCAATCTTATTAAAGATAATAGCTTCAAAAGAGCAGGGCCAAAATTCCCGGCTTTTGGTGACTTTATAATGCGGCAAGAGAAGTCATCCAATTCATAAGTCTTGTATGTACGAGAACGGAAAAAGAGGAATTCGGCTTCGAGCAG